GAATACAGCATCGTGTTTATTGAAACTAATCTCTTTTTTATCCAAGTAATGTCCCAGTCACCGCCTGGTTGAATCTTCAAAATTCCATCGCTGTTTGAATGACCCTCCCGGTCTTTGACGTTGTCGACACATCTCATCTTCCCATATTAGCCAATGCACTGTTTATCAGAAGGAACATTGACCTTGTAGCTTTGGAAAACTCCTGCCACACAACGAGGTTTCAAAACCATTTACAGGAAGCCAACTGCCGACACCGAGTACGATAGTCGTATGCTGGGTGGACTATCCCGCTCTATCCGTCTCGGTTTCACACACATCCTGATTCTAGGGGACTTTAATCTCCCTAGAGTCAACTTCGCGGAACACACGTATACTGGAGGCGACAACTCAACTGAAGCTCGGTTCTTCAACCTCATCGATAACTTGGGCTTATATGAAAATGTGAGGTCGGCAACTCGTTAGAGAAACAGTCAGACACCATCGCGCTTAGACTGTGTATTCACTAACGAAGAATTCCTAGTCGACGACCTCTCAATCCTGGCTCCTCTGGGAAAAAGCGATCATGCCGTCATAGCCTTCAGTTTTGTCATCAAAACTAAGCTAAGATATCCCAACAATAATTTGCGTTGGAATTTTAAACGGCTGAATGTGCCAGCTCTACATGACCATCTACAACAGGTGGTTTGGGATGTTCACCCTCAAATCGATGTGGATGGTCATTGGGACTTCTTACTGCACACGCTCTTATGTGCTACAGACCATTCAGTTCCTCAAACGGTTCCCAAAAGCTTCAAGCCACCTACAGTAATCAAGAACCGTACTCTTCGCCTCCTAAGCCGTAAACGGCACTGTTGGGCGGAATACAAACGAACTAATAACGATGGAGCGTATAGGCAATACAAACATATCAGGAACACATGCACGAAGGCTATAAGAGATGACAGGCTTCAGTACCAAACAAAGCTTATGGACAAATTCGCCTCTAACCCTAGAAGCCTATTCCGTTATGCAGCCTCACTTCGTCAAGCCAAAACAGGAGTTTCTCAACTGCTAGGTCTTAACGGCACGACCAACAACGATGGCGACGCCGCTAACCTTCTGGCGGCCCATTACTCTCAAACATTTCAACCGGCTGACATCAACTTTATTGACGACAGTTTCATCTGCAATTCCACAGGACTTTCTGAAGTGAACCTAAGCGCTGACTTAGTGTTCCGGAAACTGCAGCACTTAAGACTTGACACTTCTCCTGGCCCGGATATGGTCCATCCCGCCATACTGAGGGAGGCAGCCTCAATCCCGGCAACGCCGCTTAGCGTGATGTTTTCACACTCGCTTAGCCGAGGCAAATTACCGGAAAACTGGAAGTTGGCTCACATCACACCAATTTTCAAAGGTGGTCGACGCAATGAACCTTCAAGTTATCGGCCGGTAGCTCTTCTGTCGTTACCTTCAAAACTCATGGAGTCCCTGATATGCGACGGTTTAAATGACTATCTACTGTCCTTAAATTTCTTCTCACCCCAACAGCATGGTTTCAGGAAGGGTTACTTTTGTATAACCAACCTGCTGACTGCGGTGGACAGATGGACAAGCATCCTCGATCGCAAGGGAAAGGTTGATGTCATTTACCTTGATTTCTCAAAAGCTTTTGATAAGGTTAACCACTTGTGTCTTATCAACAAGCTCAAACGACTAGGTGTCAAACCACCTCTAATCGACTGGCTTACTTCATACCTAAAAAATCGACACTTTAAGGTTAGGGTTAATTTCACTTTATCTCAAGCTATGGAATGTCCTAGTGGGGTCCCCCAGAGCTCAGTACTAGGGCCTCTTCTCTTCTTGATCTACATAAATGATCTTCCTCAACAGGTAACGTCAGACTTATTACTTTTTGCCGACGACGTGAAACTTTGGAGAGAGATATGCAACCAAGACGATATACAGGCACTTCAAGAGGATCTGACTCGACTTCAAAGTTGGGCAGACGATAACGGACTTACCTTTAACACTTCAAAGTGTAAAGTAGTCCATCTGCGACATGTCGCAAACTACAGTTACAACTTAGGAAACTCCTCTCTAGTAGTATCCCAAGTCGAAAAAGATTTAGGAGTCCTGGTGCCCCATGACTTAAAGTCTTACGCTAACTGTGACAAAAATGCTTTCCGAGCAAACCTTGCACTGGTAACGTTGGGGCTCATTTTTGGCCAGTTTGACGGAAGAACTTTCCACACAATCTTCAATAGTTTCATCCGTCCACATTTAGAGTACGGAAACATAGTACTCCCCCCTCACTCCAAAAGGACAAGGTCACTTTGGAGCGTATCCAACGGCGAGCCACGAAATCAGTTCGAGGACTCAAATCTAAACCTTACGAAGAACGCCTCCGTTCACTAGACCTTTACCCACTAGAATATAGGCGTCGGAAATAGGAAAGTCAAGGACACGTTGAATGGAGAACTGACTAGTTACTGGTAGCAAAATATGGCGAACGTTTGTCATGGGTTAGTTTGGGGTAATCTTAAAAAAGCAATGTTTGAAAGGAAACAAAATCGAAAAGTCAATAAGACTCTGTTATCTCTGTTCAAATGGTTGGTGATAAGAAACTCTTCGTAACAAGCTTTGAAAACGGCGATGAATGAAATGTATCAAACGGTAAGTCCATGAAAGTACTCAGTGATTGTGGGTTGTAATGGACAACAAAACTGATGGAAGTCAAGTAAGTTAGTAGATGCATAAGGTTAAACAACTGTTTAGAATACTCGAAAAGTGACTGCCTGCAGGAATGTTATCAAAAAAGCCGAGATTGTAATCTTCTGAACTAAGTTATTGGGGCGTTGGTTGGTGTACTTTACAGTTACCTAATATCTATCAAAATCTGAGTGGAAGAACAACATGAGGCACAAAACTGAAAACGGTGACAAGATTAATAGCAAGGCAAGCAGGGTATATTTACGAGTTAACTAAAGAGGTCTTTTGGAAATATCGTTCAGTTTTGACACCTACGTCAACGACACGTTTTTACGGTTTCTTCACTCTAGCAGTTTTTAAAAATTCAGGGTACTTAATGACGTCAAAATATATTCATGTTTTTAATTCAACAGAAGTTGAACATTAAGATTTGTAATAGAGTTTGATATTAAGATATGTACTGAGAAACCGCCGCCAGCAAGACCAGACGTGGATACTAAAGGTTTCCCAGATAAACACACATAAAACAAGCTTATCGATGCGACAGACGAAGAGCAAATTTGTAGTACTTCACCAGAGTCTTGGATACGGGTCTCAGATAGACAACAAACGTCGATATTAAAACTTTCCGAAGACGTAGTCAACCCTGTCTGTTGTGCGATCTCGTTAATGTACGAACGTTGAACGCAGCCAGTTTGAATGATTTGCGTGATTTCAGAAAGACCGTTTCAGTATTTGTATTGCGGCATTCAATTTTCGACCAGTCAGTGACTCGAGAACGTCTAGATAGAACCGAGTTTCCACCACAGCAAGCTTCTGTATAAGCTAACAAATAAGGATACACGAAGTGAGAAGAGAAGAGAGTAGATAAGTGACGTAACGTATATAGAAAGGAATGTGAAATTGAATGTTATCAAATGAATGTGAGTTGTCTAGACTTTAATTGGAGCAGCGACAGTTTTTTCAGTAATTATTGTCATTTCATTTTTTTTGTGTTTGGGATGTTACACCTCCCGGATGCACAGACCGAAGCAGACAGCTTTCTTAGGGGGCCACTCCGAGTCCTTGATCTAAAGGTCCAATCCACAAGAAGGTGGAGCGACATTGTGAGGTGCAATCCCATGCTAGCCGGTGATCACCAATAAGTTCGTACACCATTCGTTCCTTCAAGACCCTGAAGCCGATGTGCAGCACTGATTTGGAATCAGGGTTTTACAACTCCCCTAAGGTATCGTATATTCACCTTTCGTCTTCTCAAATTCGTAACAACACCCTCGCCGCAAAAGAAAACAGTGGGAAGGACTTCCCTGTTAGTGGCTGTATACGCGTGGTCATGCAAGATCACTTCGAGAGGGAGGATGAACTCTCTCTATCAACTGTACTGCTTCGACGGTTAACCAAATTTCGTAACAGATGCATAGAGTTCGTCCAGCTTTTGCCGATTCACACCTTTTGTGATACGCATATTGTCTCCCTGCTTATTTCACGACATTTTTTATGTAGCTCCGGAACAATCTGTGAATTAGATGATCTGTGTAGGTTGCAATTGTCTGATGGTGTGTTTTAGAAACATTCGTCGAGGACTCAAATCTAAACCTTACGAAGAACGCCTCCGTTCACTAGACCTTTACCCACTAGAATATAGGCGTCTTAGAGGTGATTTATTAATGGCTTATAGTATTCTTAACACTTCTGGACATCCTCTTAAACACTTACTTAAGCTTAGTTCGAATAATAACCTAAGGGGTAACACCCAGAAACTGGAAACACAACATAGCAAGACGGAATGTAGACACAGCTTCTACTCCTTAAGAGTTGTCAAAAGCTGGAACTCGCTGCCGGCCGAGCTAGTCCAAGCGACTTCTCAGGAGTCCTTCAAGAGGCAACTTGACCTATTCTTAAGGACCATGGACAGCATCACATTATGATTTACCAATTTCTTTTCCTCTTTTATTGTTAACATACCTAGGTTCCTGCCTGAAGGATTTGGTGATCCCCTGCTACTAGACACGGAAGCCTGTTAAGCGAAAGCTTCTTCTATTCCGTCCACAACCATTTGAACCATTTGAACCATTTGAAGACCCTTTCACTCAGCGCAGATATAACATGATCTAATTAGTCTTTCTTCGTCAGCCTTTTCGCAGCAAACTTATTTTCCACAAGGCTGACTCATGTATCAGGCATTTTATGTCAGCACACGATATCAGAGACAAATGTTGAATCATGCCAATGTGTAGCGACATTATTGGACATCGTACGCGTTGTTTAACACTTTGAAGGTCGGCCATAGTAAAGTCTTTACATCAGAAATGAAGATTGGCGAACTCCGACCAGAACAGTCGGCGACGGTTGAAGCTTTAGTGCGTGAACTACAAAACTTGGATAGCAGTGCATTTCCTGCTTTGTACTCCTTGGCAGAAAATGGTATGATTTGCTTCCAAAGACTGATTTTTTCAGAACTCTTCCGTCTGCGTGGCGGCATTGCGGACTCATTTGACTTGGTCAGCAACAAACCTGTAAAAGTGAGGGCAAAAATAGAAATACCTCAGGCACAATATCCTGCTATTAATTTCGTTGGGAAACTTCTTGGTCCGGGAGGTCAGACATTGAGAGCAGTGCAAGAAACCACCAAAACAAAAATGGCGATCTTAGGTGCTGGCAGTCTAAGAGATGACGCTAAGGAAAAGCAGCTCCTTTCCAATGGTGATCCGAAATATCAGCACCTCAAGCAAAAGCTGCACCTTCAAGTTGATAGTTTAGGTCCACCCTCGGAATCATGTTATCGGTTAGCCCATGCATTAGCGGAAGTAAGGAAAATCATGCTACCAGTGAGTTGATGTTTTCAAAGTTATGTACGGTTGTAGGAGCAAACAGAACCCACAGCTCAACAGTGGGTTCAGCAAAATCAGCCTTTGCCCGTGGCCGGGAGAAATGTTTCCGTCAGAAATATCCGTCCCCCTTTGCGCGGTCCGCCACCACCACCACTTCAAGCTACCTTCCCTGCACCTCCAGTGCAGCTTCCCTTCCGTGGTCGAGGTAAGCCTTGGATAGGCAGAGGTGTTGCCAAGAACGGTGTTGCTATCCAACCACCAGTTCCTGTTGCTTCCGAGGTGTTTGCTAATGATGTGAATACCGTTGCCTACCCTCCAATAACTCTGTATGAGCAGAATGAGTTCAATTCCCATGTTTTTGAAGATTTCGGAACAAACTATGGTAGGTCGGGTAGCTTCGCTTTTTCCCCTATTTTGTGCAGCTCTTTGCGGGTTTAATTGAGGTCTAAATTTTTAATCTAGGACAAGACGACACTTGGGGAAAAGTCAGCATCCCAGAACCTCGCGGACGAGGCCGAGGCCATCCCTACGCGCGTCCAGGAATCAATAATGATCACAATAATTTCGGGTAAATAACTAATTTGACCATGAGGCTCCGTCATCAAAAATAATCAATAATGACAATGAAGCCAGAGGTGCATTTCACATGTTTGTCTTCGCCAATCAAATACCACTAAACTCGGTAAAAAAATTTGCTTAAATTATCTAACTGCTTGTCTGTAGTACTGTCTAAATATGTAATGATAAAATTAAACTTGTTAAATTCACTAAATAAATACCATAATACCTCTGTCAATATCCTAATTATGGATACTTCGCCTTTTTTACTTGAAATAGGTTTGTTAGCTAATTTTAATATGCCATGCGTGTCAATTATATCTTGCCTCAATGAGTAGTAAAGTTAATTGGAATAATACCCGTGGAATTACATGTTTTTGACTCAACTAAATTTTAAGATCGTCGTTTCCTTATATTAACAGGACCGGTAAAGTGCAGACTGTCAGTATCTGGAAATATCCATACAATGCCAATTTTGATACATAAAACTAATTTCCCATCCATCTCCAACTTGTAAGGTTAAGTCGTAATATATACTCTGCTGTAAATAAGTAAATTTTATGTTTCACTGGCTTTCATAAAGTCTTGTTGCATTTATCCGTTTCTTGGTAGTTCATGCGTCAGAGATCCTCCGTAGATTTTCTTGCTTGGGTCTCGGTAATCTGGTTTAATGTTGATTAACATGAAAGGCTTTGTATACGCTGCTGATTCAAACCCAGTTTCCTTCGCTTAATCATATCGCCATGTAAATGCAGTGCGGACAGTGGTTGCTGGATTATCAACCACTATTCCGTTAGTTGTATCACACTTTAAAGTATACAAAGTCCCCACTGTTACTACTGTGACTTGCGTAGTCAGTTAAGTAGTTTCAAAAGTTAGTTTTGTAATGTACTAGCTGTTTCGTTATAGTGCTAGCTAGTATACAAATATTCCTAAACTACTTACAAGTAGCACTGAATCGTCTAGTTTGTTTCATAGTATTTTTCATTACAAACTCGGTTAATGATCAGATTTTAACACTCATGTCAAGAACAACTAACTCGTAAAATGAACCCTCAAATTCCATTCTGAGTGGTTTTATCAGGTCTTATTGATAGCTCAGTATTAAAAAATGTCAAACGGCATTTGTTCATGTTTGCATAATTATTCCTACGGAGGTCCAGTTTCTTCACCGATTGACCTAATTTCAGTTCAAGTAGGGCATTCCAATTGTTTACCACTCGGTGGAAAATACAGATTCCCACCTTGCGTTCGGTCGCGGTTGTCACACATTTTGACCTCGATGATTCGTCCTAGAAAGAATAAAAAGACGTTAACCTTCAGATCATTATTAAAGATACATAATGTCTAAACCTTACGTTTTGCGATTAAAAAAATAAGGTAGTTTTAATCGCTCGTTATGGTAGTTTAAAAAGTCAGTTACCACATTCATGCCCACTTATTGAATACACTTAAATGTCAGGATCCGTAATAAGATATGGGCTAGCTGCTGCAGTGCAGTAGTCTAAGTGCTCTCACATAAATGGGACGAAATATTTGGAAGTACTGGACTAATCGTAGCACGCAAAAACTACTAGCTACTTCATCGTAGTGTGCAGCTGTTTCGTAATCATGATATACAATTGCTCGTAGGTTTTTCGCTGTTGCGATTGTGAAAGTTATATCAAATCTCTGGGCCCCGAGTTTATAATAAACTCAGATAATCTATCTAAATCTGCTTGACGATCAGGGTAATTATCATCATTGTTCATTAGTCTGTCAATCTTTTTATATGCAACAAAGGCGCGATGGCTTAATCAGTTTTCGTAGTTCATTGACAGTGGAAATAATTGGGTACCTTAAGTATTACCTTGAAGCACGTTTTTCCATTCAGATACTGTTCCATTTACTCTCAATCTTTTATGAAAAGGAAGTTTCTTATCCCATCTTTTGCTGTACATGTTATTCTGAGGTTGGTAAGCTTCTGTACACGTCGGATGGTTTGGCAAGATCTAGGAATATTGGGTCCACAGGCACAGTGAGCTGTTCAGTCCTCTCAGTGATCAGGTTAGTCAAGTGGGTCTAACTTACGAATTCCTTGTTAATCTGGTGTTAAAACTTAATGATTCTACGTATATGAGCAAATTATTCCTAAGTATTTTTTGTAGTACCAACCACTGCCAGTTAGACTGGCAATTTTGTAGTTAGTCGTTAGTTCCATGCTTATTAGTCCATCTAGCTTCAACACTCACAATCACTCGAAAATTGAGTTTAGAAGAGCAACATATTGGTTAGTTCTGCCAGTGGTCGAGAGGAATATGGCAATGTGGGGGTACTCAACCACGACCCGGCGATTTACCAGATTTTAGACCATTGAATCGATCTTGGGTAACCAAAATATTTGGACGGGAAGAAATGGGTTCGTTGAACATCATATGTATTAAGTCTAAAGTACAATATAGTACGAATAATGACCCTACCAGTACAGAAATATATACCGTGATTTTAAATGTAGAGTCCGCAGACGTCGTGGCCCGTGGAATCGCTCGCGTTAGGTCTCATACCTGTCATTGAAAAATAACTTGGAAGTATAGGCTTCCAGGGCATAACTACTTGAAAACCTTGGTTTTTCAAGATTTTTCCCCACCAAACTGAAGTCTAACTGAATGAAGGCCCTTTTTTGTACAGATATCAAGCAGCAGGTTTAGGTGGATATACGAATTCTAGTCATGAACATTGTGTACACTATTTAGTAGTATACCTGTTCTTTGTACTACTCAACAGTTCCTGAAATCTCGATGGAGTTTTACCAACTGGATAGCAGATTCACGAGCATGATGTTTTGTCGACTATAAATGCTGCTACTTTTTTGAATCCCATATAATCAGACTAGTAGAAGACTAAACATCCATGTAGTTAGTATTTACGTTCTTCTGACTTGACTTTATTGGACTATTGCTCTCAGTTACTGGGACATGCTATATCGCTTTCTTAAGATCACCTATCCCAATAGTGAATGTTCTGTGTCTTATTTAAGACATCTGGTTTCTAGACAATCAACTTTTTCCTACAGTAATATTTCAAGATGTGCTTTTGGGAGTGTTTATATCTCAACGACTGTCATCGACTTTCTACTTTTACGTTTAATTTTTGTCTAAACAGCTGATTTTTCTCCTGGTACTCTGATGACATACTTGATTACTGTGAACCTAATTGAGATTAATTCAGTGATGTAAACATCAATTTGTGTGTCAACAGGACTTGTCGTCACATTTTTCCTGTTATCATTCGCAATATGCTTCCGAGCAACAGTTACTGAATACTAAAATATAAAGAACTTGCCGAGGCGGAGCCAAATCTTCGTACACAGAAGGTGTACATATACGAAGACCTCTTACCCCTTTTAGTGCTAAATACGACTCAGTTGAAACAAAAACGATTGACACTGATTTTTTAGAACATCCAAAACTAAGAGATTTACTCAACGATTAAAATATTGTTTTTGAATGCCATACGCTTAAGTCCTGTTCATCAATTCAATCCACTTGCAGTGTTCATTAGCGTAGTTAATGCAGTTTTTCTACTGCTAGTAATTACCTCTTACTCAAGCGCCATATATAAAAATCTAGAAAGCAAACCAAAAGAGTTCAAGAAAACTAGGATTTCCACTCTGACTCTCACGTTTTTTGTTAGTCTGACATTGAGAAATTATTTAGAAGTCTACCGGCATTTTACGTTTGTCCACCATAATTTCACTATCTGATGTATTAATATTTACTTAGTGATAAATATTCAAAATGCTGCTCCTTTGCCCTGTTTGGTAATCTCCCATCTATTTTGGTTTGCTCAAGCAGGTTGTATCACTAGTGTCTCGAAGACAGGTACACAAATATGTAACTGTGAGTGTACTCTTAAAGTAAGGTAGCAATTAGTATGATGACCAACATTTACTTACGGACTTAAGATCTGTCAAGTCTGTCTTGTTTATACTTTTCACCTTCACAAATGGCCTTGGTTGTCAATCAGCGCATCTGCACACAGCTTGTAAATTCCAATAAGATTTTACCTCTAACCCAGATATTTACACAAACAAACCCTCGTCAAAGCTTTTTTTAGGTGATTAAGTTCTTTTTCGTGATTGATACAAAATTCATTTGGAAGGAAGTATTTTAAGATTTAAGCTCAGTTTCAAACTAAACATATACTTCCTATCTGCTGGACAAAAAAGGTCCAAAATAAAGTTTCTCAATGGTTTTTTTCCTAGTTTTTGTCTGTACACCTGCAAAATCATTCTTTAAATCTTCTACGATTTTGTCGCACTAGTTTACTAAATTCGTCATAATATGTCCGTAGCGTAAAGTGACACAAAAGGCCAAATAATTACTGTCGAAATGTTGCTAATTGAAATGTACAGAGCAATATGATAAAATTTGATATTTCATTCATTTAGCTACCCAGAAGTCCATACTACCCAACTTAACATCCAGTCTCAAATCAATTATATTAGCATTTTCTTGCACTTCATTTCTCGTTCAAGGCTCGTAACAGTAACAATTTAAAATAAGTGGTAGTAAGTATCATAATATACGTTAAGCTTTAGCTGGATGTCACGTGCTTGAATATTCATCTATTTAGATTCATAACTGCGACTAAGATAGCTTAGTATCTATGTTTTAGAAGCGATCTCATCTTTTCTTTACAATGGTTGGAGTGCATTCATGGTATTGCATCTCTAATTTCGTGAAATCCACAATTTGTAGAGTGAGACGGACAAATTCTTAGACTTAAACGATAAATTTTATTCCCGTATTTAATTAACGTACGGTTTGTGTCCTAATAAGATTAATATCACAATTTCCAGGGGAAAAAACGATGATAGGGTTGTTAGTTTAAGCATTCTTGATACATATCACTCCATTTTAAAGAACACTTTCTAATTAACCTTAGTAGATTGTTATTAGTAATTTTACAAAACCGTTCTCGATTGATACTGCAAAATAATCTCATGAAAAAGTGACTCTACTTGTGCTTCTGT